TGAGGAAAGACTGAAAAAATCGGGTTTGTTTAGTCTGGAGAAGAGAAGACTGAGAGGGGACATGGTAACAGTTTTCAAGTACATAAAAGGTTGTTACAAGGAGGAGGGAGAAAAAAATATTCCCATTAGCCTTTGAGGATAGGACAAGAAGCAATGGGTTTAAATTGCAACAGGGGAGGTTTAGGTTGGACATTAGGAAAAACTTCCTGTCAGGGTAGTTAAGCTCTGGAATAAATTGCCTAGGGAGGTGGTGGAATCTCCATCATTGGAGATTTTTAAGAGCAGGTTAGACAAACACCTGTCAGGGATGGTCTAGATAATACTCAGTCTTGCCTTGAGTGCAGGGGACTAGACTAGATGACCTCTCAAGATCCTTCCAGTCCTATGATTCTATTACTCTAAAGTGTTCAGTTATACATGGAAATGTGATAATTAGCATTTTTTTCTATTATTTTGAGAAAAATTCTAAAAGATATTTTTGCAAATCCTAAATGAAATGCAAACATCTTGCAGTTCAAGGATTTAAAATTTTGCACGGCTATTTCGAATGGAGTTTAGTCATGTAGGATTGGAACTAAAGGGTTGTAAGATCAAGCTTCTAGCAATGACCTCTTCCCTATCATTTATTTAGCAGAAAATGTCTTCAATTTGAAATCATGCACTCTAGATATTACACTTATAAAACTCATTGTGATTTTATGCTGTGCTTAAAGTCATGAAAGTGACTATGTGAAGCTGAAACCAAAAGGAATAATAAAAAATTATTACATTTCCAGTGGTATGAGATTTAGATTTTAAGTAACATTCGCCTAATTAATTCATAGAGTCAGTTCAAATGTACAGATTACTCACTACCTGAGGATTTTCATTAGGATATAGAATCTATTGGTCTCGCTTGTCAGTTAATGTGAATATCTATCGAGGATGATAAAAAAAAAACTTGCACAACTTGAAACTACTATCCTGTGTATAGCAAAGAGATACTACTGTACATATTCACCTTCCAGAAATGTTAAGACAGCAGCAAGGAAAAACATTCTCACATTGTCCCTTAAGGACAATATGTCTACACAGCATTTTGGAGCAAGTAGGAGTGAGCCTGCCAGAGCCCAGGTCGACAGAACAGCTGTATAGACAGTGCTTTCAAGTTGCAGCTTGGGCTGGAGCTCAGACTCAGAACCTAAGAAGGGGGCTCACTCCAAATTGCAGTGTAGACGTATCATAAGTGTCCTGAACCCTAAAGTGGAGAGGATAGAAAACTGAAGAGCTGCCCGGTCTTGCACCTCTTTAGAGTAGACCAATAACGTCAGACAAGAGGAAGATTTGGATGCTCCATGTATTAAAAAATTATCCACCACGAAAGAAGTGGGAAAGAAGTGCTCATAACCAAAATCGCAACTGTCCAGGTGCCAGCTCAGTGGAATGCTGACAAATACATAGCTGGAACCAATCTGGCTCACCTGTGTATTAGCATTGTTAAAATAGGCATTAGCATTATAAGAATGTGTTTAGACTTTATTGAATGCCTGAGAGTTGCTGCATAGATTAATCTCAGTTATAGTATCTGTATCCCATACTGTAGGGTAGTATGTCAGTGTTTACATTGTAAGCCTCGGTAACTGTGTAAATCAGCAGACAGGAGGGAGACATTAACTAGTGTGAAATGCTGGTCTCCAACAAAAGGTGTTATGTCCTGTCCGACAAGGAAGGCCCATCGACACCAGAGGGACTAGAGTGGAACGTTAAAGAGGACAAAAGACTTTGTTGTTTACTCCCCCCCCCACCCCATTAAGATGAGTCTTGTAAGTGAATTCCTCCCATTAGCTGAGTTTGCAGCTTAAAGCAGAAGGGGGTGCGGGGGAGAAAGGGAATAAAAACCCCTAACAAGGAGGAACTGTATACCATTGCTTCCTGGACTCTGTGGGGCAAGGTTTCTAGGCATAAGCAAGGGATCCCCAGCTGCTTAGCTAGAGTTAGCCCTAAAGGGCATACAAAGCTTGCTTATTACAGAAGCTTCTATTACCTTTTGATACTTCAGTGTAACTCATTTGTGTATATATGTTTACTTGCTTTAACCTTGTAAATAACTCTCGTTTCTTTTTCCTATATAATAAATCTTTAGATAGTTCATTACAGGATTGGCTAAAAGCATTGTCTTTGGTGTAAGAGCTAAAGTGCAACTGACCTGGGGTAAATGGCTGGTCCTTTGGGACTGGGAGTAACCTGAATATTGCTGTGATTTTTGGTGTAAAGGAGCATCTGTCACAAAGGTAAGCTTACCTGGGTGGCAAGACAGATGGAGTACCCAAGGGACTGCCTGTGACTCCATGGTAAGGCTGGCACAGTGCCTGAAGAGTTTAAACTTGACATTTGGTTGGTGAAATCTACGTACAGAACTCACCACCAATCATGCTCTTGAGTCACTGCAGGACCGTTTGATATGAGGCTAAAGCTTTCTTTGCCTTGTGAGTTTTTCAGTGTAAGAGCTGTTGTGTATGTAAAGCGCCTCTCACAAGGGACCCCTGATCTCTGTCTGGGCCTTTAGGAACTACTAAAGTTCAGTTACAAATAAATATTTTTTATATCTTTTTCAAATAGATAAACACATCTAAAGACTCTTATAGACTAGACTGCATGGGCCTAATGATGGACACCTAGTGCAAAACTGGAGAAATCAGGCCTTATACAAGGGATTTCTGTTGGGGGGGGGGGTAATCAATTCTCTCCTTCAAATCACTGGAAACAGAACCACTGAAGCTGCTCTGAAGCCACTAAGAGAACCCATGTGCAACCATAAATTCAGAGATCCATCTGCTCTGGGTGAGTATTTATGCCAGTTGATCAGTGTAGTCAGGGCTGGCTCTGGCTTTTTGGCTGCCCCAAGCAAAAAACAAAAAAAAAAAAAAAAACCCCCAAGGGCGGCCAGAACGGCAAAGAAAAAAAACAAACAAACCTGCGGCGCGGCCAGAGCGCGGGTGCAGGGGGACCGGCTTGGGGGGGGAGGGAGGGGAAAGGAGCGGGCGGGAGAGAGAGAGAGAGAAGGGGGTGGCCAGGGCTACAGCAGGGGCACTGCCACGCGGCCCCTCCCGCTGCGCCGGCCTCCTGCCGCCTGCCGCGAGGGCTCCGCTCCGGTCGGCGGGGAGGGAAGGAAGAGGACTGCCCTGCAGGGCGCTCTGGTTCTCCGCGCCGCCGCCCCCTACAGGACAGCCGGAGCGGAACAAAAGAAAAAAAAAAAAAAAAGACGGCCGTGCCGCCCTAGGATTGGGCAGAATGCCGCCTCGAACAGTCTGCCGCCCCAAGCACCAGCTTGCTCAGCTGGTGCCTGGAGCCGGCCCTGAGTGTAGTCACAGATCTAAGATCCCTCTGCTATGCTGCAGAACATACCATGTGGCTTGCTGGCAGCATGTACTCCCCTTGGTGTCCCCGTTCATAAAGAAAGCCTGGCTGTTCCACTACGTCTTAGGGCCTTCCACACATAGGAGGGCAGAAGCAGGATTTGGCCCTACTGATGCCTTCATAAACATGATTTTAAAGGTGCTTGGCTCATTTTGAGTTATTTTCCCCATTGTTTAATCTTAGAGATGACAGAAATTTAGGCATCCTCATCTTACCAGTAGCTGATATAGATCCCTTTATGGAAAAGTCTTAGAGAATTTAATAGGGTGGAGCCAACAGTTAGGGTTACACCACCTTTTATAATTCTAGAGAAGGGATGTACATTTCTATTACACTCTACAGCATGCTTCTAAAGTTTCATGGAAAAGATACAATTTTTCTCAATTTCTACAGGATTTTTCCATAAAGATTCATCTGAGTGAACTAGAGCAGACAGCAGGCCTTCCTGTTTTCAGTATTTGTTTGTCCAAAGGTGTGGCGGGAATTCCTTCTGGATGTCAGAAAGCACCAGGAAGATTAAATAATTGGCAGTGCTGCTACTATAAGAGCTGGCATAAATTCTCAGGATCTATTTCTTGCTGCTTATAAGCATGCAAGGGTTGAGAGTGAATTTTCAGGCAGCACATTTCTCCAAAAGGACAGTGACAGGGCATTGAACATCCCAGTTAATTGACTATTTTGGAAGCATATTTTTAAGTCCTTTGTTCCATATAAAAAGGCTGATCGCTACGCTGATATTAACACAAAACTGCTCAGCAATAAAGCAGACCTGATGCATTTTCAAAATTATTTGCCCTTGTCATCTTCAGGCCTGATTTAGAGTTTCAGCTTTTGAATTTACTGGGCTCTAAAATATCATTTGAAGCTCAAATCTTATCAATGAGGCTCAATTACCTCCCACCTTTCTTCCTTTATTTTTATGCAAAAAGTTTGATGCCTGATATTCTTATGATATGTGGACTATAACAATGGTTTAAAAGATTCATTCCCTCCATGTGCATACACTGAAACAAACATCTACATTTTTTGGCTGCAATTGCTATTATAGCAGGTGTCTGAAGCCTGAAAACAAAGCAATACATGTAGGCCCTGTGGGGACCTTTTCTAGAGTGAGCTTTGGTGGCTGTGGGGGGAATCCTTCCTTATAGGCAACATTTACTTCTGAACAAGAATAACACGTTTAGAACTATAACCAGCCTGGGAAAAACACCATTACTGTTTCTTGTTGTCCATCTCCATATGAGATCAAATCCAGATTCCTATCAATTTCTTACTATCCACACACAGCATTGTTGAAGATTTTATTGTTCATGGTTCCTTGCTAATTAACATCACCATGTGAAATTATTTCTCAGTGCCAGGTTGAAAGCACCAAGTGTAACTCTAAGCTCAATAAACAGAACATACTCTATGGCTGGTTTATATTTCAGCTTGTGGCTTGCCAATGAACTTCTCAGAATTGAAGATTTCAGGAGCTGGTGGGATTTTTGTAAAACAAACATCTTTTTGAAAGGAAACACTGCTTTTTTCCCTTCCAGGTGCCAAATTCACTGAATAAAGCATGTGACATAGTATAACACAAGGTGTCTTTGGCAGTACAATACCTGGATGGGTAGCCAGCTGCACTGATACGGATGGTCTCCAACACACCACAGGCTCTTAACTGCTGGACTGCTCTCTTTGGATCAAATCTGCAATTACATGTTATGATGATACAGATGAGCACAGTTTCCCACTCCATGCACAAAATGAAAAGAAACCTAGCAGCAGAGTATCCGGAGGCAATGACAAGAATATTTACATTGGCAACCTTTCCAATACAGCTGGGTTTCATTTCTGCTTATATGCACAGCACGTACAGAAAGAAACTCTACCATTTACGTTCTCCTGCATGTTGGGAGAGCTCAATTTGCTGTAGCCTGGAACTCCTTGATTGGAATTCTTTGAGCAGGTGGATTAACCTGTGACTTATGCAGCACTGTTAAAGGTTTTCAGGAGAAAGAGCTGAGTTGCTGGCTAACAGAAAGACATCACTGGGCAGAAAGAAGGATGTGATGACTGCACCACTGCATAACCTATGATAAACAGTACAAGGTGCTTTTCTGCATAGCCAGAAAACCCATTCATCTGAGGTCTGTAAGATGCTACATTTTGTAACAACCGCGTAATAAGGCTCTGCTGTAAAGGACAATGAAATTCTTAGGGAAGACACCACCAACTTCAATATGAAAAAACTTTCTATACAATCAATACTATTACAATTAATACCAAACAAAGTAATGATCAGATCCCACTTAACTGGCTTTGGAAACCATATGAATTTAATGTGGTTTAGGAGCTTTAATCTTCGTTCCAATGGAACTTTGCTATCTTAGAGAGCACAGAGCCATATTCTATTCTGGTTCTGGGCACTGAACCCACATTGAGATCAGCCGGTGTTCATACAGAACAAGCATAGTAGACAGAGTCCATTTTCCACACCATGTGCACACGAAGGTCCTGATTCTCCACTCTTTGGCACCAGACCCTGCATTTCAATGGGACTGCCCTGGGGTAAAACAGGTGCAATAGAGCAGAGATTCATAGATTCCAAGGTCAGAATGCACAATTGTGATCATCTAGTCTGACCTCCTGTATATCACAGGCCATAGAACTTCCCCAAAATAATTCCTAGCGCACATCTAGAAAAACAACTCATCTTGATTAAAAATTGTCAGTGATGACGAATGTACCACAACCCCGGTAAGTTGTTCCAGTAGTTAATTACCCTCACTGTTAAAAACATTTCACCTTATTTCAAATCTGAATTTGTCTAGCTTCAACTCCCAGACATTGGATCATATTATATAGATTTGTCTGCTAGACTAATGCGCCCATTATTAAATATTTGTTCCCCATATAGGTAGTTACAGACTGTAATCAAGTCACTCCTTACCCTTCTCTTTGTTAAACTAAATAGATGGAGCTCCTCAAGTCTATCGCTATGAGGCATGTTTTCTAACCATGTAAGCATTCTTGGGGCTCTTCTCCAAATCCTCTCCAATTTGTCAACATCTTTCTGGACTTGTGCAACCAAACTGCACACAGTATTCCTCGAGATTCCTATTTATGCATCCAAGGATTGCATTACTCCTTTTGGCCAGAGTGTCACCCTGGGAGTTTGTGTTTAGCTGATTATCTATCACAATCCCCAAACCGTTTTCAGAGTGTCTGCTTCCCAGGATAGAGTCCCTCATCCTATATGTATGACCCACGTTCTTTGCTCATAGATGTGTATATTTAGCCACATTAAAAACGCATATTGTTTGCTTGCGCCCAGATTACCAAGTGATTCATATCATTCTGTATCAGTGACCTGTCCTCTATTATTTACTAGTCCCCCAATTTGTGTGTCATCTGCAAACTTTATCAGTGATGATTTTGTTTTCTTCAAGTTAATTGATAATAAAATATTAAATAAAGTAGGGCCAAGAACTGATCCCTGCGAGACCTAGAAACACACCTGCTCCGTGATGATCCCTCATTTACAATTACATTTTGACACCTATCAGTTAGCCATTTTTTAATCTGTTTAATGTGTGCCATGTTAATTTTAGATCACAATATTTTGATTAAAAGAGAAAAATGAGGTACCAACTCAAATGCCTTACAGATGTCGATGTCTATTACATCAACATTGTTAACTTTATCAACCAAACTTGTAATCTCATCAACAAAAGATATCAAATTTGTTGACAGGACCTATTTTCAATAAACCTATGTTGATTGGCATTAATTATATTACCCTCCTTTAACTCTATATTGATTAAGTCTTGTATCTGCAGCTCCATTATTTGCCTGGGATCAATGTCAGACTGACAGACCTGTAATTATCCAGGTCATCCCGTTTACTCTCTTTAAATATTGGCACATCATCAGCTTTCTTCCAGTCTTCTAGAACTTCCCCAGTTCTCCAAGACTTATTGAAGATCAACATTAAATGGTCCAGTGAGGCCCTAAGCCATCTCTTTTAAAACTCTTGGATGCAAGTTATCTCGACCTGCTGATGTAAAAGGGTTTAATTTTAATAGCTGCTGTTTAACATCCTCCTGAGATACCAGTGGAATGGAAAGAGTGTTTTCATCATCATACGTTATGACTATATCATCTGCTTTTTCCCAAATACAAATTTTTCCAAATTCAGAAACAGCCCCATAATTCTCAGCACCATTAGTACCACGAATTGCCACATTCTGGCCCTGTAAGGTACTTGGTTTGGAAACTATCCATACACTATTTTGATGGTCAACCTCACAGAGACATACAGATGCCTCTGGGTAGCATCTGTCTATTTCAGGCACTATCCTAACTGCGTGTGGTAAGGTGACACTGCTCATCAAGGGGAGAACAGGTCCCTATATGTACGTTGGGATTCTGAATGTCCCTAATGTTTCAATCTGGAGATCAAGAATTCATGAACAATTTTTAAATTGCTCAACTGTGCTAGAGCAGTGTAAGAAATATACCTCTGCTATTTTCCGCATTTTTAAACTCAGCAGTGCTGTCAAGTCCACAGTGAGTTATCCATTCTAATACCAACAAGAAAAAGAGCAGAAGTTTAACCTGTCACTCACTCCAGACAGGAATCCAAGGGGGTACAATTTTAATAATAATAAATAATAGCAATGTTAGCAACTTTCATCCTGGAGGATCCCAAAGCAATTTATACTGTATATAAAGAGATCTCTCTGAAATGCAGCCAACTGCTCTAAACCATAGTCACCTTGCAGGTGGAACGTAGCAATCAGTCTTCACCCATAACACTATTCAGCATAGGAAGAGTCAAATAACCTCTCCAACTAAACTATAAAGGGAACTTTGTGTCAGTAGATTATATTGTTTAGTCTGCCGAAGAGAAGATTGAGGAGGGATTTGATAGCTGCTTTCAACTACCTGAAAGGGGGTTCCAAAGAGGATTGATCTAGACTGTTCTCAGTGATAACAGATGACAGAAAAAGAAGCAATGGTCTCAAGTTGCAGTGGGGGAGGTTTAGGTTGGATATTAGGAAAAACTTTTTCACTAGGAGGGTGGTGAAGCACTGGAATGGGTTACCTAGGGAGGTGGTGGAATCTCCTTCCTTAGAGGTTTTTAAGGTCAGGCTTGACTAAGCCCTGGCTGGGATGATTTAGTTGGGGATTGGTCTTGCTTTGAGCAGGGGGTTGGACTAGATGACCTCCTGAGCTCCCTTCCAACCCTGATATTCTATGATTCTATGATATTCACTCAAAATAACATTTGGCCAAGTTACTTGAGTTAACTCTCTCTTCTCTAGCAAAAAAATGCTCTGGGGTCTATGACATCAAAAACTTGGCATTCCAATCTCAACGTTAAACAACTTTCAGTATGATGTAAGGTAGGAGTTATGAACACAACTCCTGGGTGTAGCTACTTGGAATTGTAGTTGTAACCACTCTTTACATTTCACTACACTAAAAATAAATATCTACATAAATAAAAATACTCTAGAATAAAAGATCACACAGATGAGGCTGTTACCACTTCTCACTTTAGCTGGATCAATGAATAACTAAAAATTAAGGAAATAATAATAATAAATTTACCACTCACTTCTTTTTTTCTTGACTTGGGAGGCAGAAAGGTCTAGTGGATTGAACATGGCCTGGGACCAGGAGCTATAATTCATGAGTTCTGCCATGGACCCAATGTATGCTCTTAAGCAAGTCAATTAGACCAATATTTTCAGAAGAGCTTAAACTAGCCATCTAAGTCCATATTTAGGCACCTAAACAAGTGGCCTGAGCACCCAGCAATTTCCACTGAAATTAAAAGTGTTCCATGGAGGAAGTTATTGGGAGCTTGAAAATGAGGCTACCTGTATAAGTACCTAAATGTGGATTTAGGAACTTAACTTTAGGCTCATACTTTTGAAAATCATTGCCTCAATTTCTTCATTTATAAATCACACATACAATTACTTGCTTATCTAACCCGAATGTTGGGAAAAACTGAATTAACATTTCTATAGCACTTTGAAAATAGAAAGGATACGATTTTCAGACTGGAAGCCAATGGGTCTATGGCTGTTCAGCAACGCTGAAATTCAGTCTACGTTTGTTTAGGTGCTTAAATAAGAATTTAGAAGGGAAACATTCAAAGGCACAAATAAGAGCTAGATACCCAACTTCCATTTGTGCCTTTGAAAATTTCCTCCTAGTTGACTAACGTTAAACACAATGGTTTGAAAATTTTGGCTGAAGTGCTTTGCAAGTAGTAAGCATTATTCTTATGGTGCTGCAGCTTCTTTCATGCTGGAAATCTGACACTCAAGTGTTTGATTCCTGAGCTAATGTTCAATAAACTAGATTTGTGAGGAAAAAACGTTAAATACTGAATTCTGAATGTCTCATTTTAGGAAAAAGTCAAAAAAATTATCTATTGATATAAGAAGGTTTAAGAAAATGTTCCTCTTTGAATAAAAGGTTCATATTCTTATGCCAAATTACTAAAATAATCACAGTGCTATAAAAATCACATTTTAATGGCACTGCCCTACCCCAGAACTAGCATTCCACTGAATTGTTTCCTCTAGCATGGCACAGCTGAAAGGTGAACTGCAGTATCTTTATCATTTTGTCTGATATGAGCAGGATTTTTTAGAGAGCAAATTGGTTTAATTTAAGTGATGCCAAAGACTAAAGTTGTTTAAGCTGGTGGCAATAAGGCTTAATACTAGTTAGGATTCCTGGATCACCAGTATCAGACAAGTAGACTCCTCTGAGGAAGGGTGGAGATACTGATCTCTAGCAAGGGGATAGTGATGTGAATAAGCCTGAACCAGTGTTTTCCAGTTGACAAACAGGGAGTGCAACGTCAACCATCTCACCCTGGAGTATTTTCTTGTCGTGCCTGCTGTTTTCAGGATATGATGTACACAATGGACATACGGACACCTGCACTGCAAACGAGATTCATGTGCGCGTCAGTCTGGAAGAGTAATTCTTGGATCTACTTTGGTTTGCCCTTTATTTTGAAAACTTCAGTTTGGCAACTCCGCCGTTGCCTATTAGGAAGCATTACATCAAACACTGCAGCGTCACCATTCTGGGACCATGCCTAGAGAGACTATAATAGCCAGTCACACTTGTATGCCTGCAACTTGTTTCAGTTTTGCACCTGTGATGTGTAGGTACAACTGATGTCATTTAGAATTTGATGATTAGTTACTTGACCACACCTTAACACGATTTATAAATGGGCATCAGTTGTATCCTGAATAGTTGGGGGGAAATTGGAATGCAAAATTGAAGGTGAAAAATTGAATACTCAGCTAAGGCTGGGCTGAAAATTGAGCCATGTGGACAGATGAGTCTCACAGCTCCCTGATTGGAAAGACCAGGTCATTTCACCTTGGAGGCTACTTTGCTTCCACTCTCCGGGGTTAGAAAATACTTCCATAACATAATCATACAGGTAACAATCTGTTTGGCATTTGCCGGTGTAGGTGTATGGTATGCCATTTTGTAGATACAAATTAGATTTGTACAAGATTTTCAAATTGGCTTTGAGTGGCAGTTGTGTTAGAATAAAACCGGACTTGTGGAATTATATATCACATCAGCAAACAAATGTTCATTCCTTATCACTCTGATACTATAGGAGACCTTGAAGTTATTAATAGGATTGTATAAGCACATAGAACTACTCCATCATGGTTTTCTACTGTCTCCAACAGCAGCCTATAGCAGGCCCTTTAGAAGACACCTAAAAGGGAGCAACATTGGGTCCTTTTAATCAGTGGCAAAATTCCACTGACTTAAATAGAACATAATTGGGCCTAAATACATTCTTCCAAATGGTAATACAGAAAAGTTGTATCAGCTCACTGTAATTATCTGTCCGCCTTATTTAAAATACGTGTGTACTCCTCGTAACTGCTGTGGGAGGTCAGGTCATCTCCTCAATCAAAATTCTATCACTCACACAATTGGAACACTGTATCAGCTGATATGAATCACGTTTTTGGACTTCTATTAAAACAAATACGTAAAAGGAACAAAAAATACCTGAGGCACAAACGAAGTGCTTTCAATGGAAATTTAAGGAAGTAAACCACAATAGTTGCTTATCCCTGTCTTTTCATTTCTCTCCGTCTGCTCTTATTCATTGTCTATCACTGTATCTGTGCAATTTAACTCTAATGTGTTGTGAGCTTCTAAGATATAATTTGATCAGACACTATTGCAAAAGCAATAGTACTGCATCGTATTGTACTGTGATATTGTATGTGGTTAGTCTGGGTCAGCGTAGCAGTAGCAGAGTATATTTGCTAGTGTGGGCTGCATTTTTCTCCCTCTATACCACTTGGAGAATACCACACTTCTAATATGTTCGACCATTAAAACAAAATAAACCGTGAAGCATATTTTCAATCATAAGGGCTTCAATCAACAGGGGACACTGATTATGGGACAACAGTTCTTAGAATTATATGAGTTACAGAATTTGAAATTCTTAACTTTAACTAGCCATGCAACAAATTCCAAGCGCTTATACTACGGTGCTGTAGTATAAACCCCTATGATAGGTAATCCCAGTAAACTAGTAATAGTCTGTCAGGACCCACCAGTAACTGTACACCCTCAAAACTCCTGTTGAAAGCAGCAGGGCTTGAGGGAGATCAAATGCTTAGAGCACATTTTAGAAGAACCATTTTGTAAAAGGACTTGTTCCATTCCCCTTAAAAGTGACTCCAAATATTTTAATGTAGAGAGACTTTTCAGCCCTTTTTACTATGAAGTGCTAGAGCAGCTAGATGCGTCGGCTTATCTTACAGTGGAACTTACTTGAATGGAAGTTTCTCATCATTTGGCTTGATGCAGCGCACATAGTGTGGAGTGGTAGCATTCAGTGTCTCCATCAATAAACGCAAGGAGTTTCGGAACTGAAAGAGACCAGAACAACAAAATAATCCATTAATCTTTAAGTGGCAGGGAGGGAAGGGGTGAATTTGGAGTGTTGAAACTCTAAATTAGGCCTGAAGATAAGGGCAAAGTTGGAGTATATACTAAATCAAAGACAAAAGACTACTTTACAAGCAGACATCAGTGATAAGCGGAAGCCTGAACCAGCCTATGGGTATGAAAATAATATGAATTTTCATATAAACCCAGATTGTACTCTAGAACTCTTGGTTCTACACAAACAAACACAAGAGCTACATCAAAGCGAGAAGTCATTCTTCCGCTCTACTCCGCTCTGGTTAGGCCTCAGCTGGAGTATTGTGTCCAGTTCTGGGCACCG